GTCGGGCATGGAGCTCGTGCTTGGAGGATGGGGTCCAGTTGTCCTCACCGGTCACGCAGACGCCTCCTGGGTTGACGACTCAGCTACGCAGCGGTCGTCACAGGGCTACACCTTCAGCCTTGGTTCCGGCTCTGTTTTTTGGCGGTCTACACGCTCGTCTTCGGTTCGCAGCTCCAGTTGTGAGGCTGAGATATACACCGGGGCCATGGCTGTGTCAGAATGTTATATTTGTCTAGCCTGCAGTGGGGTACTCAATAGTGAGTACAACCCAATCTACGGTTTCCCATATGTACTCAACTGCTTGCTAGTGCAATCATTCTCACTTCCTTCATTCATTCCTGTTTAATTCTTCACATGGTATAGAGCTGGTTCCCTCCTGGGACTGTTCCTTCCTCGGGCCCACCACTTCGCTAAACTTTTTTTTTTCTGCCCTGCCCTTAGCGCGTTTCGCGCTCTGCCCTGCTGCCCGTCGCGACCCTTTGTGGCCCCTTCGTGGCCCCTTCGCGACCCCGTCGCGGCCCTGTCGCGGCCCCGTCACGGCCTCGCCCCGGCCCTGCCCCGTTGCCCGGCCCTGCCCCGTCGCCCTGTCGCGGCCCCCCGTCGCGGCCTCCTGTCGCGGCCCCCCGTCGCGGCCCTCTGTCGCGGCCCCGTCACGGCCTCGCCCCGGCCCTGCCCCGTCGCCCGGCCCTGCCCCGTCGCCCTGTCGCGGCCCCCCCCGTCAGGGCCCTCTGTCGCGGCCCTCCGTCGCGCCCCCCCCCCCCCCCCCGTCGCGGCCCCCCGTCGCGGCCCTGCCCCGTCGCCCGCCGCGGCCCTGTCGCGGCCCTGCCCCTGCCCTGTCGCGGCCCTGTCGAGGCCCTGCTTCGGCCGTGCTCCGGCCCTGCCCCGACCCTGCCCCGGCCCCGCCCCTGCCATGCTCCGTCGCCTGTCGCGGCGCATCGGGGACCCGTGCACCGCCCCCCCCCCCTCTTTTCCCGTCGCCTGTCGAGGCGACCTGGGGGGGGGGGCGCGCGTCGCCCCTTCTGCCGCCTGTTCTGGCGCCCTGGGAGGCCGCGCGTCGCCCCCCCATCCCGCCCTGCCCTGTGTTAGGGTTTGGGGGTGGCGAGTGGGGGGTGGCGGGTGTGTGGTCTCCCCTGCTCCTCCTCCTTCTCTGTCTCCCACTACTGCAGCTGCCGCTGAGGGGGGTGGGTGTGTGGGAGTCGACGGAGTGGGGCTAGGGGGTGGGGTGTGAGTGAACCTAGGGGTGCAGCAGGGGGTGTGTGAAAGGGGGGTGGGATAGTTTGGGGAGGTTGAAGGGGGGTGGCCGCCGTGAAGCCCGCAGCTCCAGTCGCCCGTGAGACCGTTGCGCCAGTAGCCCGTGAGCCCGTTGCGCCAGTCGCCCGTGAGCCAGTTGCTCCAGTCGCCCGTGAGTCCGTTGCTCCTGCAGCTCAGAGTTAGTCGCGGAGCCAGTTACTCCAGTAGCCCGTGTGCCAGTTGCTCCAGTTGCCAGTGTGCCAGTTGCTCCAGTTGCCCGTGTGCCAGTTGCTCCAGTTGCGCCGTGTGCCAGCAGCTTCAGCTGCAGCCCACTACCTCCTCTCCTCTCATAGTCCCTCCTCCTCCACACTTGCCCTCTGTGATAGCTTCTAGCTTTGCTTACTATTATTGTGAACTATTGCTTACTTACTTGTGCTCAGAATGCGTGGTGACATTGTGATCCACCCTGAGCTTGTCTTTTGCTTTGCTTTGCTTCTTGTGCTGATTACACCCCACTTTGGCTATGGGGGTGTGTCAGAATGTTATATTTGTCTAGCCTGCAGTGGGGTACTCAATAGTGAGTACAACCCAATCTAGGGTTTCCCATATGTACTCAACTGATTGCTAGTGCAATCATTCTCACTTCCTTCATTCATTCCTCTTTAATTCTTCACAGGCTGCTCAGGAGCTACGCTGGCTCACCTACCTGCTGACCGACTTGGGAGAGCAGCCTCGTTCGCCTCCAGTTCTGTACGTAGACAACAAGGCTATGATTGCCTTGTGTCAGGAGCACAGACTGGAGCGCAGAACAAAGCACATCGCTCTGCGATACTTCCTTGCTCGAGAGTTGCAGCAGCGTGGCCAGCTTCGTCTTGCGTACGTGGCCATTCGGGCCAATACTGCTGATATATTCACCAAGGCACTTCCGCATGGTGATCATCAGCGCTTCTCTACTGTGTTAGACCTTGTGCCTACTTTGCCTCACTTGCTTACTGCTTGACTCTGCTTGTACTGTGATCTATATATATACCTGCATGCTTGCACTTGCTAGGGTATGATCACTGTATTGTTTATTCTCTTTATATAACTCTGCATGTGAACTGGCCTTGTGGCCCTTTGCTTGTGCTCGGACTGTGTGGTGACTTTGTGATCCACCCTGAGCTTGTTTTGCTTTTCTTGACTGGTCTTGTGACCACTTGTTCTCCCCCACTTTGCCTATGGGGGTGTGTCAGAACATTATAGCTTATACATTTGTGTAGGATGTAGTGGGGTAGCCCATAAGGGGTACGACCCAACTATGGTTAGCATTTGTACCCAACTGTTTCATAGTTCATTCATTCTCGTTCGTTACTTGCACACTTGGTTGCTGCCAGCACATGCTGAGCTGCCTACATTACAATTATGGTAAAAAATATACATACACTGATGCCTCTGGGTTAAGTTTTCAAAGTTCAAGTTACACTGATTCATCAGTGCTTCCAAAAAGGGCACACTGCTCAGAAGGGTTTTGAAAAAGGCTACACTGCTAATCGTGAGTAGCCAAAAACCAAACATAGGCCCTGCCCTGCTGTCAGCTGTGTCGGGAGGGGCGAGAGAGGTTCTAGACGTGTGGTCAAACAAGGAAACGCTGTCTCTAGAATCGCTCAATAGGTACCGCTGTAAATCATCGAGCCACGTATCGAACTGGATCGGACGGCCCTCATGATCGAAGGTGAGAACACTGAGAGAAGCCATAGCGGGCAGAGTAGGGTGGCGCGCGACCAGCAGGGCAGCACGCAGGCAAGGACGGCGCGACGGACAAGGCGGCGCGCGAGCATCAGGGAAGCGCGCAGGGCAGGGCGGGGCGGCGCACGGCTAGGGAAGAGCGGCGCGCGGTCAGGGCAGGGCTGCGTAACTGGCAGGGCAGGTCGGCGGCCAGCAGGGCGGCACGCGGGCAGGGCAGGGCGGTGCGGCGGCCAGCAGGGCGGCGCACGGGCAGGGCAGGGCAGCTCGGCGGCCAGCAGGGCGGGGCGCGGGCAGGGCAGGACGGCGCGGCGGCCAGCAGGGCGGCGCGCGGGCAGGGCAGGGCGGCGCGGCGACCAGCAGGGCGGCACGCGGGCAGGGCAGGGCGACGCGGTGGCCAGCAGGGCGACGCGACGGGCAGGAGAGGGCGGCGCGCCACCAGCAGGGCGGCACGACGGGCAGGGCAGGGCAGCGCGCGGCCAGCAGGGCGGCGCGACGGGCAGGGCAGGGCAGCGCGCGGCCAGCAGGGCGGCGCGACAGGCAGGGCAGGGCGGCGCGCGGCTGGCAGGGCGGCGCGACGGGCAGGGCAGGGCAGCGCTCGGCCAGCACAATATAAGTATTATAACATTTTGACAGCAATACCTGGCATCAAGAATGTCAGTCAAATGGAGAGGCACAGCCAGGTGCACAATCCGTAAAGAAACATCTGCCATCACATCTGCCATCGGATAGGCGGCCAGACTAACCAAGAAGGTATGTTCACTAAATAAAACACAAAAAGGCCCAAGTATGGGCACAGGTATGGGCACTGGCACAGACACGGGCACAGGCACGGACACAGGCACAGGCACAGGCACAGGCACGGGCACGGGCACAGGCACAGGCACAAGCACAGGCACAGGCACAGGCACAGGCACAGGCACAGACACAAGCACAGGCACAGGCACAGACACAGGCACAGGCATAGACACAGGCACAGGCACAGGCACAGGCACAGACACAGGCACAGACACAGGCACAGGCACAGGCACAGACACAAGCATATGCACCCACGAGGCGCAAATGCCTGCACTGCACTGCTTGTGCAAAACACAAACCAGAAGGGGAGAGGGGCAGGGGGAGGGGAGGAATGGCGGTGAATCGACTGGCTCCTTCCCCCCAAAAACACCATTGGCTCCACAGGTGTAGGGACAAAGGTGAGCACAAAGAATCAAGTGCATTAACCAAGTTTCTGCTGCTGCATAATCTGCCGCCACCGCCGCCGCCGCTGCTGCCCTTGGTTGCTGCTGCTGCTGCTGCTGCTGCTGCTGCTGCTGCTGCTGCTGCTGCTGCTGCTGCTGCTGCTGCTGCTGCTGCTGCTGCAACAGTGCCTTCAGCTGTACGTGCTGCTTCTGGTGGTTCCAGCAGCAAACACGGTCCTGTGAAACGAGGCAGGCAGTAGCGATGTTGAGTCAGGCTCAGGAATCAACTGGCGTATTGTGAAACGGAGCGACAGCAATGAGGCGGTGGCCTTGCAGCTGCGGCAAAACGTGCTGCTCCTGGCACGTCTGGTACCATTAGTCGTTACACTGTGTTGGCCAGAGGTGGAAACCACCCCGGGTGATTCAGGTGATTGTAGCAATCAACCAACCAGCCACAGAAGCTGACCAAAGCTGATGCTCAATCTGAAGTTCAAACTGGTGTTCAGCCAGATGTTGCAATCAAGAGGTGGTAGTGCTGTGGAGCACTGTGTCGTAAGGCCAGTAGGAACAGATCTGGCCATGAGAGCCAGGGAAGCTGATGTCCACTATAGAGGGCAGTACGGCTTAGGGGGTGCAGATGCTGCAGTGAGAACTAAGGTGTATATGATGCGAGGAAAAAGGTGCTGCCCAGATCCTAGGAGAGGCAGAGGCAAGGCGGAGGACGGGCGGTGGAAAGGAGGGGAAAAGGCGGAGGAAAGGTGGAAGGAGAAAGAGCAGCAGATGTAGGAAAAGGGAAGGTAGGCGCGGCTATGAGCAGGTATTAGGAGGGAGGAGACGCGAGGAGCAGGTTGAAAAGGTCGAGAGGATCTAGGAGCGAACAGCAAGCTTGAGGCGCGGCGTGGGGTGCAGGTGCAGCACCATGAACTCGAGATGCGTGTCAAACTCCTTGGGCATGTCTGGCGACATGGAGAACTGTGGGGGGGAGGGAAGACGGACCAGGAGAACAGAATGGTATGCTTTTATGGTGCCTTAAATCTGGAGCAGGTGCAGCACCATGAACTTGAGACACGTGTCAAACTCCTTGGGCATGTCTGGCGACATGGAGAACTGCGGGGGGTAGGGAAGATGGGCGGGGGAAGAGAATGGTATACTCTTTAGGCACCTCACGAGCAGGTGCAGTTGCAGCAGTATGTACCCAAGAAGGGCGTCATTACAAAAAAAAGGGGGGAAGAAGAAAAAAAGGTGATAACTGCAACAACACAGGCCAAAGCAGGTGGCAGTGGTGCGGATGCAAGGCGGTGGTGCGGATGCAAGGCGGTGGAGCGGACCTCGAATCGGTGCAGCAGGATGGCGACTGCAGCGCGGATGATCTTCAGCGACAGCCGCTGCCCCACGCACAACCGAGCGCCCGCACCAAACATAAGAAACTGCGGCCCTGGCTCGGGCGCCACAAACTCATAGTCATGCCCCGGCACCATCTTCCCCTCCCTCCACGGACTCCCACCCCTCCCACCCGCTGCTTCCCCCGGTTTTCCCCCTCCCTCCTTTCGTTCCTGCCCGGTCCCCTCGCCTGGGAACCTTTGCGGCCCCTCCCGGTGGCCCATAGCGCCTAGCCCCACGCCCACGCGGGTGACCCGTTTGGCGAAGGAGTGAGAGCGGGGATCGAATTGGTGGTGCTGGTGCGGCTGGTGGTGGTGTTGTTGCTGCTGCTGCTGCTGAGGGCCGTGCCATCGGAAATGGATGAACCTATCAGGGTTGAATTCTGCTGCGTCGCTTCCCCACAGGGCTGGGTTCAGCTGTAGCTGGTACACGGGCAAGGCTATGATCGCCCCTGACGGCACCAAGTGGAAAGCGCTGCTGCTGCTGCCGCTGTCGCTCCCACCGCCACCACCACCACCCACCCCATCCCCGTTATTACCTCCCTCAGTACCATTACCACCACCCGTTTCCCAACCTCTACCAACACCAACACCACCACTGCCGCTGCCACTGGGGGCGGACAGCCGTTGATCTTCCCTGCTGCTGGGCGCCGACAGCCATAAATCTTCATTCACTGCGGCGCGCGTGATCATCGGCACAACCGGCATGCACCGCGCTGCCTCGTAAATCACAGCATTCAAATAGTCCAACCGCAGTAAATCCTCGTCTTTAGGCGCTTCGTTACCGCACACAGCTCTAATCTCGCGGAACACGCGATCCTGCACCTCTGGGTGTAACGAGAGGCACACGAGAACGCGTTTTAGAAGCGCCGGCACGAGCAGGTACCCATGGAACATTAGTGCAGCTGCTTCTGCTTGGGCTACTTCCTGCGTGTAAACGGGTTGGCCTAAAGCGGAGCGTTCTGCTAGCATTGCAGAGAGGAAGCTCTCCCTTAGAAGCTGCGGCTGCTGCTGCTGCTGCTGCTGCTGCTGCTGCTGCTCCTGTTTGGTCTGGCCCTCTAAGCCCTTGGCCTCCCCACCACCGCTGCCACTACCAGCTTCTCCTGCCCCTCCTTCCTCAGACCCCTCCTCACCATGCCCTTTACTCTGCTGCTTCACGTCCTTGGCAAACGTACCCGATACAAGCTGGTGGATCACCCCCCTATAGTCCTCCGCTACACTCATGAGCTTCTGGTACGCGGGCAGCCACACCGGAAGATAACCAAAGCTTGAGAAATCCTGCACCGAGTGCGCGAAAAACTCCAAGTCGCTGGCAACACGGTTCTTGAGGTCCGAGTCGGGGAACGCGGGGCCGAATAAGGAGCCTCCTAAAACGCCGACCACCATGTCTTTGCACGCCTGCGTCACGTCCAGCTCGCCGCCAGACGCGGAGAGCGTCCCCCACTCGCGCGCGGTGACGTCCGCCACGCGGCACGCCACCTCGTGCACCTGGAACTTGAGCGTCGTGTGGCAGTGGTAGTCCAGGAACGACCGCCGTGCACGGGGCTGCAAGCAGGGGGGAAGAGAGGGCGAGGGGGGAAGGGTACGGGTGGAATGGGCGTGTAATCAATGGTGACTTGTTGGTCGTCCTTGTGCGCCTGGAACTTGAAAGTCGTGTGGCAGTGGTAGTCCAGGAACGACTGCCGCGCGCGCGGCTGCGGGGATAGAAGGAAATAGAAGCGGATGTAAGCGGTACAAGGAAGGTTACTTATTTCGAACTTGAGCGTCGTGTGGCAGTGGTAGTCCAGGAACGACTGCCACGCGCGGGGCTGGAGGCAGCGGGACGGGGGAGGGGAGGAGGTTGGGGTGGAACGGGCGCATAGGGGAACACTGACTTCTGAATTGTGCAGCTTTGTCAAAACCCTGTACCTGACGGGAAGTTTCGCTGGCCTTGCTCGGATGAAGGTGGAAAACCAAGCCGAGTCGTTCCCAAGACACTCTTCAACCACACGGCAACACAATGGCGACCGCTCGCGCGTGTGCATAAGCACGTAAAAAAATTTAGACGCCTCAAAAACCGCTTCGGGGGTAGGGTAGTTTGCTTACCTGAATGAAGGTGGAAAAGCAGGCCGATTCCTTCCCAATGCACGCTTCAATCACGCGGCAGTACAACGGCGACCGTTCGCGCGCGTGCATGAGCACGTTGCGGACCTGCTGCGGGTCCTCCACCGATATAAGCAGCCTCACGGGGCTCAGCCAGAGGCGCACCACCGGGCCGTACTTGGCGTGCATGGCGGCGAGCACATCTGTGAACCACGATTCAAGTCGCGCGAGGCGCGCGCACGCGAGAGAGAGAGAGAGAGAGAGAGAGAGAGAGAGAGAGAGAGAGAGAGAGAGAGAGAGAGAGAGAGAGAGAGAGAGAGAGAGAGGGAGAGAGAGTGAGAAAAGGGTTGAAGGGAAAGGGGGGAGTTGACGTCTGAATTTGCCTTGTTCGGTGTGTGTAGCTGCGAGAGTAGTATCTGCGACTAGCAAATAGAAGTCAGCTCAGAATGTATTATTATCTATACACACATGCGGAAAACTCAGTGTAGGTTCAATTTCAGCTCTCTCCGAGAAGGGCTAAAGTTATGATTTTTTCTAGCTCGGATGTAGTGGGCTCCTTGATGGAACTGCCCGGGAAACGCAGGGTCCGCCGGGAAAACGCTCGGAAAATTCAGGGCTCGATGAAAATCTCCTCGTTTTTCCGGAACAAGTCAAACTCAAGATAAAATTCAGCGTTCCACCGTCCAACCTGTGTTTGTTAGCGCACTGCTAGTGCTGCTTTCGTATGACTCTGCTTCTGTATGAAGTTGAGGAGCATATTTTCATCTTGTGTGCTCGCTGAGCAGCTAGAGACTCCTTCCCAGAAACACAAGTAGCTAAGTGCCGAGAAACGAGCTACGGGGAGGGAGAGTGGAGCTCTCGATAATTGGAGGAGGTGGAAAAGATTTTCGTAGAAAGGGGTGGAGAAGGTGGGAAAATTAGGGGGTACAGACTTCGTAGAAGAACTCAGTCCTTCCAGGAACTACTCGGATTCGTCAGAGTCAGCCCTGGAAATGCTCGGATTCAGTCAGGGCTGGCTCCAAAAGTCCCCTGTGAAAATCCGAGTTCGGCTTAGAAATACCATGGATTTTCAGTCAAGAACGAGCATTTACCCCGATAGCCCTAGCCTCCGAGCAAGCAGTACACAGCACCGGTTCAGGGCTCGCTCCTAGGAAGTCCGTAAGTGGCAACTGAAGAGACGGGGTTGAAGCATATGGCTGTGGGAGAGGAGAACGGAAGCAGGTTTGAGACGTCTCAAAACTAGAAGGAGAAGCAGGGAAGATCCAGAAGAGCTTACTTTTCATCCCACTCATGCCACCGGCGTCCTGAATCTCCTTTATATTCCCCCAAAATGACTGGCACTTGGGTCCTGGAAACTTGTTGCCGCGTCGCCAGTAAGCCACCAGAGGGTAAAGCCATTTTACCAACCAGCTGACCAAAAATATCGCGGCTCCTAGAAATATTAAGCGTAACATGTTGACGTGATAGTACCTGAAACATAGGGTAATGAAAGGTCATCAGCCTTGTTCAATAAAACGGATGTGCGACTCGGAGTGGTCATCCGATTTCAACTCGAGCACGCAAATCACAAATCTCACCTACTCAAATATCGCGACAAGGGCAACCAAATCCGGTCTGTGGGTCATGGAAGTGTAGGTCCTCTAGAAATGGCCGGCCCGATTCTGAGAAGCCTAAAGCATCTCGAAGGTGATTGACGATGCGGGAAACATGTGAGTCCAAAATAGATCCAAGCTGAAAGGGAAACCTAATCCTTATCCAACTTGTACACAACTGATTGCCAACCTGATATTCACGCCAGACCTAAGCAGTTGCCTCCTATGTGGTGCTGCTCTGCTTGCTTGGAGGCGATGGCCTAGTGGGTGGGCCCTCTGTTGCTCAACTTCCTGACGGGTCCCCTAATTTTATTTTGATCCACCCTTCCGCTCTTGTTTTCTTCCTTCAACTGAAATTTGACACATAAGCCGAAGATTGTACCAGAAAGAATGGCTGAAGCATTAACAGCCCAGTCAGCGTTGATTACAGAGTATTCAAGCTGTGGACGCTGGGTGACCACCCATATTTTACATGGCGTCTTCCATTCCCCTCTTCTGCATCTCTCCCCCCCCTCTCAACCCGCCCCTGCCCAGAAACCCTCCCCCTTTTCCCCATCTCGCACACGGAAACTCCGCCTCTATTCCAGCACAGCAAGTGCAGTGAAGCCAATTTGCAAAAAGGCAAAATTTCTCGTCGACTTGGCGACAGGGTGGCGCCGATGGATTTCCCATGACCCACAATAGGCAACGTTGATTGGCTGTGCAAAAATCAAAATCTGAAATCTTGAGATTCTTCACCTTTCCCCCCGCACAGCCATCGATATGCTGGGCGGAGTGCCTGCGACGCCTGCGACACGTTATCTAAGTGACTTCAAACCAAGGGACGACAAGTCAAACTTCGGGACGCTGGACACGGAGAAGCCAATGACGCGCACAACCTGTCACGCCTGACCCAACCAATCCGCTCGGCTCGGTTCGTTCGGTTCAGTTAGGTCACGCCGGACCTCTCCCGAAATAAATGTGGACGGTCAAGCGGAGGGCGCGGCTCGGGCCCTCCGACCTACCTAGACTTAGTTCCCCTTTTTCCCCCGTGCGAAATTGAAATTTCTCGACCTGGCCCGACCTGGTTTCCCGCCGTCTTACCTATTTCCAAATAGATGGTTGGCGACGGGTAACCCGTTCGCCAAGAATTTCAACTGAGTGAACAGTTGACAAGGCGAGCGGTAACCACGTCGCTAGCAGTCAACTCTGACGACTTACCGTGTGGCACAAACAGCTGACGACAGCTGCGCTAAAGTCTGTTCTGTTTTACATAGTTGCAAATTTTTCTGTTTGTATAACTGTTTAGTATGCTTCTGCTTCATTGTAATATTGTTTTAGTGAAATCTGTAATGATGACGTGCTTTTTAGGGGGGTTTTTTTTTAATAAAAAATGATAAATGATGTCTTAAGCTTCATATTAAATATAGTTGCAGTGGTTTATTTGCATATACAGTCATGCAAATGGCTAAAAGGTAGAGCTTAAAATGATTTTTTCTGCCAAATATTGTAGTCTTAGTGATATGTGTTATAGGGGGTACAACTGTTAGGGTTAGGTTTATGTACCTCAACCAACCTTAGTGAAACCAACACTTTCATTCTTGACATGGTATCACCTAGGTTAGGATCCTGTAGGATCCCGTTCCTCTCGTTCACGTCTGTAGCGCCCGAGCCTGTACCGTATCCTAGTGCCCGTTACGCCCGTACTGTCCCCTAGCGCCTCTCGCGCTCGTCTCTCTCGTGCCCTAGCGTCCGCTGCGTCTGCGTGGCGTCGCCCCTGCTGTTCCGTCCCATCCCGTCGCCCATGCTGTCCCGTCCCGTCACCCCTGCCGTCGCGTCGCCCCTGCTGTCCCGTCCTGTCCCGTCGCCCCTGCTGTCCCATCCCGTCGCCCCTGCCGTCGCGTCGCCCCTCCTGTCCCGTCCCGTCCCGTCGCCCCTGCTGTCCCATCGCATCGCCCCCTGCTGTCCCATCCCGTCCCGTCGTCCCTGCTGTCCCGTCCCGTCCCGTCGTCCCTGCTGTCCCGTCGCGTCGCCCCCCTTCTGTCCCGCGGCGTCGCGCCGTCCGTCCCGTCCGCGTCGCGCTTCCTGTCCCCTCCCGTCGCACGCGCCCTGTGCGCCCTGCCCGTCCGTCGCGTCCCGTGCGCCCTGCTCGTCCGTCGCGCCCCCACTGCGCCCTGCCCGTCCGTCGAAACGCGTGCGCCCTGCCCGTCCGTCGCGCCCCGTGCGCCCTGCCCGTCCGTCACGCCTCGTGCGCCTTGCCCGTCCGTCGCGCCCCTGCTGCACCCTGCCCGTCCGTCGCGCCCCGTGCGCCCTGCCCGTCCACGCCTGTCGCGCCCGTCCCTGCCAGTCGCGTCCGTCCTGTCACGTCGCACTGTCTATCATGCCCTACGCAGGCCCTTTAGGCGTTTAGGGTTTCCGCAGCAGCAGTATCCACCTCTACGCTTCCGCTATGGCGACCCCTAGGGTCCTGCGCTTTGACGCTGAGGGTAGGCCGCTCGAGTTCTCGGTCTGGCTCCTGTGTGCGCGCCGCCTCCTAGAGAGCCAGGTTCAGGCACACGAGACTCTGTGGGCGCACGCTTCCGGTGACCTACCTGAGCCAGCTGACCCTGCACCCTTAGCAGCTGACCCCACACCTGCAGACAGTGACCGTTATGCACGCGAGCGTGCTGACGTGACAGCATGGAAGTCGCGTGACACCGCGGCCTTCACGCGAGAGCAACCTCCACTCGGTAGCCTCTGCCTCTGGTGTTGTGCACCCTCCACTGTTCCACGGGTGCACTGTCCCTCAGTTGCCCACCTTTACTGCCTCCCTCGCCACTGCCGCTACTGACGTGACCACAACTGCTGTTACGAATTCTTTGCGGTCTCGGGGTAGGAGTGGCAGGAGGGGCGGCCAGGGTGCGGGCGGAGGCGGCGGAGGCGGCGGAGGTGACGTGGCGAGCGGCGGCGGCGGGAGTGCAGGCGCTGGAGGAGCACCTCGTGCAGCTGCTGGTGACTCCCCTGCTGCAGCTGGTGGAGGTGACGCCCGGGTTCGTCAGCCACCTACTGGTCTGCCAGCCGCAGGGGGTGGAGCAGCGGCGTGGTACCTGACTCGACGACAGCAGCAGCAGCAGCAGCAGCAGCAGCAGCAGCAGCCCCTCCCCTCGCAGCAGCCACAGCAACAGCAGCGGCAGCAGCATGTTTCGGGGCAGGGGTCAGGACAGCGTCAGCTGCAGCGCGGTGTCGTCCACCCTCTCTGCACCTATCACGTTATGACAGGTGCCCGCCGCAGCCAGCCTTGTGGGCGCAGTCACCCACCGGGTCAGTGCTTTGCTCAGCTTACTGACACGGTTCGATTGGCCTACGACGTTGATGACCCTGCCCCTGACTGGCTTCCCCTTGTTCAGACGTACGGCCCCGCTTTGTGGGGCATGTCGGCTTCTCAGTTGGTTGATCTCTTAGGAACTCCTCATGCTATGTATGCTGTTGTTGACTCTAGTGCTTCTGACTCAGTTTACTCGAGTGTTATTAGCTTAGGTGCTAGTGTTGCTGAGGTGCCTGTTGCTAGTGTAGGTACTTGTGTAGACACTAGTCTAGGAGCTGCTCCGGAGGACGCTTCGCTGTCTTTCACTCTGGACTCCAGAGCTTCCTACTGTTTCTTCCGCGACCGCACGACACTCACCCCGCTTCCTACGCCAGTCTCTGTAGCACTGGCTGATCCCACTTCGGGACCAGTCACTGCTTGCTACACTACTACGCTTCCGTGCCCGGCTGTTCCCTCCGGTTCTCTGACCGGCTTCCACGTCCCCTTGTTCTCGAGGAACTTGGTGGGCGTGAGGCCGCTCGTGAGTCAGCACGTGGGTGTGTGGATTGAGCCTTCTGGCGAGACTGCGGTTTGTGTCAATGGGGACACGTACGCGCCTCTTGCCACCTTTACCGCTGAGCCGGGCTCTGGTCTCTACACACTCCACACTGGCCCCCGAGGGCAGCAGCAGCAGCAGCGGCAGCAGCAGCAGCAGCAGCAGCAGCAGCGGCAGCAGCAGCAGCTACTGCCCCCGACCCCTGTCACTGTCCCCCATCAGGTTCCCGCATCTCACCAGGTTGCCGCGTCTCCCCAGGTAGCTGTGTCTGGTCAGGTTCCAGTGTCTGGTCCAGTTGCTGCGTCGTGCTCTTGCCGATCGCTTGCCCACCCCACTATTTTGTGGCACCATCGGATGGGGCACCCGTCCATTTCTCGCCTGCGCGCTATGTCTAGTCATCGTCTTATCTTTGGCCTCCCGCGTGTCTTGCCGTCGTTGCCGCCTTCACTTGCGCCACCCTCCGGTCCCTGCGTCGAGGGTCGGCTGCGCGCCACCCCTCACTCCTCCTCCCTTCGTCCGGCCACCGAGCCCTTTGAGACTCTCCACTTGGACGTCTGGGGCCCCGCTTCGCGCCCTGGCCCTGAGCGAGAGAGTTTCTTTCTCGTGGTCATTGACAACTACTCCCGCTACACCACAGTGTTCCCCTTGGCGAAGAATTCCGACGTGACTTCTATGCTGATCCGGTGGTTGCTTACCACTGCGGACACTCGTGGTCGTCGTGTCAGCTGTCTTCACTCCGACCGCGGGGGTGAGTTTTGCTCTGGCAATCTCGCTAGATTCTGTTGCGAGCAGGGCATCCGTCAGTCCCGGACGCTTCCAGAGTGTTATAGTCACAATAGGCTTGAATGTGCCTTAAACGAAAGATAGAGAGCACAGACGGATTTCTGCACAGCGGCTTCAAACGATGATAGCGTTCTGCTCACAGCTGCAAATGACTTGATTCAAATTGGATCTGGAGCGTCTTCACGTCGCCTACAATAAGCAATCTAGATTGCACGATTTCATAAAGAATTGACGACACAGCGTTGGTTTGAACGAACGGTACTATGGCAGCCACTAT